CTGTGTGTGTGTGTGTGTGTGTGTGTGTGTTGTATCGTGTGTATAAAACACACTTTGCAATAGCCCTGGCATGCAGACAACGTGCTCTACACAATCATTTGACTAACAGGGATCACCGCAATTGACATATAGAGAAGTTGCAGTCAGGTACAATTCATCATGGGCATAATTATTATTCGCCCCAAACGGTCATTAAGGACCTTTGTTTTAGTACGAGGCAGGATCCGGAATCCAAGTGTTTTAATCTATCTAGCAGAAGATAGACTACAATGCTTCACCTGTCAATCAGACATCCACCGATTTCAGCATGGTCGAGCAAGAATTGTGACAGCCTAGGAGATGAAGTAGTAACCTCAGATCTTACACAGAGAGCTCATACGCATATTTATTTGAGAGTTATGCACGTGCAAGGGAATATTCGTTGCAGTAGGAGATGTAAAATAACACACACCCTATCCACTGACCATGCCATTCAATCAATGAAGATAAATCATCATTCAATCCTTCCTAACATCAGCAGTTGTCACAATTGAAGGAAAATTTCAAAAAACAGAAATATTCGGGAAATTGGGCAAAATTAAGGGAAATATCCAGGGGGGTAAGAAACCTTGGCATACCAAAGGGAGGGAGGGGAAAGAACAAAAACAGACGGGAAAGAACAAAAAAACAGACTTAATGCAAGATCCACACGGAAGGCATGAAAAATGACCATGAGCTCAATCAAATTATACGGAGAAATTTGAGAGAACACATCCCGAAACAAGAGTAATCGGCCTGGTACTCTCTGCATGCGAGTCAGCTCCAATTACTTAGTCGAATATCCTCCTACTAGTACCACATCCCCGTATGTAGAATCCTAGTAAAATCCTAAATCGTCGAACCGCGTGTACAGTCGTAGTCCCTTGCTTCCTTTTACAGCCCATTAAGTGCATCGCTTAATTCCGAACATAGCCATTAGCAATGTACATCTACAGCGTACACGTCATCATGCCAATTGCGCATGACGGAATCTGCCAGATCCACCAATCAGCGGGTCGATTACCATTACCCCCATTCTTACCACCCTCCTTACACCCCCTCTGTGGCATACTCAGTACCACACGGGCCCAGCAGGGCCCGACCAGGTAGACTAAGGGTCCATACATGCAGGGCCTGTTTTCGTTTCAGCCTAAAAGCCTGAAAACGAGGGCCTACAGGCCCTGTGTCGTTTCAGCCTGAAAGCCTGAAAACAAGGGCCTACAGGCCCCGAGCCTTTTCAGCCTGAAACGGAGGGCCATTTCCAGGCCCTCATAAGATCGACCTGCCCTGAAACTTAGGCACCAGACCAGGGTTTTAGCACAGGCCATTTTGGGCCTGTTTTCAAGACAACCTTTGTTTGAACTTCAACGCCAGGGTATGGCACGTTTTGGCATTGGCAAGAGCAGCCTCCTGGACGGGCCAGCAGTATATAAGACTGGCCCGCCCTACAGGCTGCAGGGAGTCACGAGGCAGTTCATAGGAACTTCCCAGGCACTTCACGTGCAGGAGGCAGGAGGTAGTCTTCAGGATTCGGCAGCAGCACTCTGGAGGAGCGCTGCAGTAGTAGTAGTAGCGTTAGCAGTAGTCTTCAGCGCTGGGTGCTGGTAGGAGCTAGAGTAGCGTTGGAGAGAGAGAGAGAGCGATGGTTGGCGGAGGCCAGGGAGACTTACCTGTGGCGCCATAGCTCCAGCTTCGTCTTCGATGTGCCTGCAACAAGGCGCCACCTTCACAGGTTAGTACCGGACTGAGAGAGAGTTCTTCTTCTTCCTCTTCTAAGTCCACCATCTCTTCCTCACCCTCTCGCTACCTGACTTCTCAGTATCTGCAGACTACGAGAGAGAGAGAGAGAGAGAGAGAGAGAGAGAGAGAGAGAGAGAGAGAG